TTTTTTTTTTTTTTACAAGATGCAAAAGCATAACTCTTACTCATAGCTTTCCTTATATTTTTGTGTCTCATTTACTATTAACTTTCTATTTGTGGATGTAAAAAATAATCATTTACTATGACAGGCAAAGTAAAAAACACATAAGATGGAAAAGCAGGAAGAATTAGCTCTTAGGAGGAGCCTTCACAATCTTTCTTTAAGGGATTGTCCCACGAAGTAACACCGGAAGATTGTCTTTGGTCCTTTTCACAGCTTGCGTTAATCTGTTTAATAAAATGCTCCAGGATCCACCGCGGTTGATCAGCGTCCTGAGGAAAGACGCAAGCAAAACCTCTCCCCCAATGGAGTAGGGGGTTAGGCCCTCTCCATTGTCCTGTAAGGACATCTTTCCAAAGCACTCGTGCTTTTTGAGATTGATATGATCCCCAATGGCGGGTTGCTCGAGTGTTACCCACATCATCCAAAAGAAGGAAATTTATAACAAATAAGGCATGATATAATCTATGCATGGGTGAATAGCTGCCAGAGAGGGGATTCCCCCCTAACTTTTCTAAGGTAATTTTTAAGGTACGGTGGGAACGTTCAACTAAAGCTTGTCCCTGAGGATTACAGGGAATTCCAGTAGAATGTGAAATCTGTAATGTGGAGAGGAACGTGCGGAAGCCAGCGCTAGAATATGATGGTCCATTATCTGTCTTAATGGCATGAGACTTGCCCATATAAGCAAAGGCATAAAGCAAATGTGCAATAACATCTTTAAGGGCCTCTCCTGTTCTGGGAGTGGCACAAATCATTCCTGAGAAGGTATCCACTGTTACATGAAGAAACTTGGAATGGCCAAAAATGGGGCAATGCGTTACATCCATTTGCCATAGGGCATTGGCTCGAAGGCCACGAGGATTGACCCCCAAGGAAGGGACAGGTAAATGTACTGTGCAATTTCGGCATTCTTTAACTATGGTTCGGGCTTGTTCTCTGGTTATTTGAAACATTTTCCTTAATGTTTGGGCACTAACACGATGTAGGCTATGAAATTGGGCCGCTGCTTTTAGGGGCGAATTGATAAGGTTAACAGGAAATACACTTGTGAGTGCGTCTGCCCTTGCATTTCCTTCAGTAAGGGGTCCAGGAAGCCCCGAATGTGCCCGTAGATGATGAATAGAAAAGGGGGTGGAGCGCCCACGAATGCAATTTTGTAGGCCTTCGAACAATGTTAAAAGATCTCCTTTTGCTAAGATTTTTCCTGCCGTCTCTAACTTAGGCACAGCTTGGGATACATAGATACTATCTGTATATATATTTATGGGTTGAGAATAGCGGGTTAATGCTAAAAGGACTGCACTCAATTCAACCATTTGTGCAGAAGCATAAGGTACCTTAACTGCCCATGCCTCATGAGGTGAAACTATTGCAGCTGTTCCTTTACAGGAGCCATCTGTGAAGACTGTAAGGGCTCCTTTAATTATCTTAGGGGAAGTTCATAGAAGGAAAATGAACCTATGCCTAGTTGCAAACTGTACGAGTTTGTCTGATGGAGGATGATTATCAATGTCACCTGAAAAATCTAGGAAGCTAAGGAACCAGGAGGTGCTAGTCTGGTCCAAGTACAATCTTTGGTTTTTATCATAGGGAATCACAATCCTGTTGGGCTCTTTACCAAAGATGGTGATAGCGGCCTTCCTTCCAATCTGACATAATTGAGCCACCATCTCATGGTAAGGTTTGATGATTTTTAGGTGAGCATGAGGTAGATGAATCCAATAAAGAGGTCTTTTTTGCATTAATACTCCCGTAGGCCAATCAGGGGATTCACAAATAACTAGGAGAAGCAGGAGTCCTGGTTCAAAATAGGATATGAATTGTTCCTCTATGGCTTGTTCCACTATTTTTAGAGCAAAACGGGCTTCCTCAGTTAGTGTCCTTGGGGAAAGAGGGCTCATATCCCCCTC